GGAAAATACTTTTGACTCCCCACATTGCTTGTGAAAATAAGAAGCAGAGTTTTACCATAAAATGAGGAACATGTTCTGTCATTCTTTACCTCAGATTAAGTATTCTTGGTGTATGGGTGACTTCCTGCTCTGGCCACTTACCAAGATTGTTCAATAGCAGAAGTGGGTAAAACATTTCATTTGCAGTGAACCTGGGGCACCCCATAGTAGAAGCTGTTGTGGAAGGAGGACTGAGGAGCCTGTGAGAGGGCTTGACTGGTGACTGTTCCACTGTGATGGGGAAGGAACCCAGTTTAAGTCCTAAATTAAATTTTCCTAATTCTAGCCACAGAAATTGCTTCAGTATGTTTGAATTTTCATAACAATAGTGTGTGGGTTCCTTGCCCCCACCCCTCGCCAGAAATCCTCCTTCTGAAGAAGAAAATATTCTTAGTATTAAGCTTAAAAATTAATATTGACCTAATACTCAGTTTTTTTCTATGTCTTGGAACATGCCCACAGGTTGGGAAGTAGAAGGGAAAAGAAGATTTGAGAAGGATGAAATATTCTCTTTACTGTGTTGTGGGAGCTCTGGTCTGTATTCTCAGGGTATTGGTGTAAGGCTTGGATGTCGTAACTAAAAGATGTTCTTTATAGTTGGACATGACTATGAAAAGTTGTATGCTATGCTGTGACTGCTGTTTTTCTGTTGAAGTTATCAGCTTTATTTGCTGTATTTAAAAACTCAAAAAATAGTATATGCTGTTCAGTGTGAGGTTTTGTGGAAAAAATTTCCTATGGTCCTTGTGGTAATTGGGCTTGGACAGTCACAGTTTAGTTGTGCTTAATCTCTAGTTGTCTGGTATTGAGTTAGGTTATTTTTGCATTATTTTTGATTTGTTAAAAAGCAATATATTGAAAACTAAAGTATCAACCCCCTAGATTCATTAAGTTTCAGACTTTACATTAAAAGACTTGCTACTTGATATATACTGCTACAGTGCATCATCTCAGATTCTCAGACTTGTCTGATGTGATGTGTAATGTAACTACAGAACGGGATTTGCATTAACGCAGCGTGACTGATCGGGTACTACAATGTGCAAGAGTTTTCCTGTCCACAGTTAGCACTGCAATATGTGTTTGTCTACAAAGCTTTCCTTACTCCACCTGTACATTTACAGCAGATACTACACATTATCTTTTTATTTTTGCTGTAGTTTTTTCTGGGTTTTGTTGTATCGTTAATTATTTTTCTATATTGTGCTTCACTTTACAGTACTCTGTCTTCAGAGTAAGTATATTATTTCTTAATTTGCACTGTTCTTTTCTACTGCCTTTATCAGAATATTGATGACTGGAAACTTTGTTTTCACATAAATGTGAACACTTTTTTTTTTTGGAGCAGTGATGAAATACCTTCTTATCTAACATTAATCAACTGATAACAATGTAGCTAAATATTAATATTTCTAATAGACTATTTCTTTATGAAGAGAATAATGAGGTAATGGGTAAAATCCTGATATTTTTGAAATGTGATGGGCTCTGAAATTTGAGAATATATTTTGCTGATGTGTAAACTGAAATGAAACAGATGACATTGTCTCATTTCTGTTTGACCTCAAATCTGAAACTATTAGGATGAATGATTAGAAATGGAAAGGAGGAGACAAAAGAAAACTTAAATGTTGCTCTTCTCATTGACTTCAATGGCATTGTTTATTTTTAGACAACTGCTTGGAAGTGTCTTCTAAGTCTGTGCAAAAAGAAAGACTGAGCAGCAGATTAGGTTTCTTTTCTTCTTGATTCCTGCTCTTTCTGCAGAGGATCCTCTGTAATATGCTGAGGCTCTAGTCCCTTCCAGATTAATTTAATCGATGGGTGATGTACTTCAGTGGCGTCTCCTTTGATTCACTAAACTTTTGTTGTTAGGGATTTTTAGGCTTTTCCTTCTGGGTGATGTGCATTTGGGGGAAAAAATGGAGAAAAATTATATCTTTTCAGTGGTGGAAGGAAGGGCTAGCAAAATTTAAAAGGTCCTTTTGGTTTATGAATAGTTGCTGTGTGCCCCTAAAAGAGCTACTCAGGCTTGTGTCTTTTAAAACCGCTATTTTAGAAGATCTTTGTGCTGGCTTGGCCTTGGGCAACAAGGAAATACATGAAGTTAGATGGCAATGAATTGATAGGGAGTATGAAAGATGTGTAGTTGGTGAAGAAAGAACTGGTTTTTAGATAGGAAATTTATTGAAGTAATCGTTAGAATGTTACAATCACTAAAGTAAAACCTGGTGGGTTTTAAAGAAACTGAGAGATTCAGTCTTTATGGTACACTTTTATGATCCTTAAGAACTGAGTAGTACTTGGAACCAAACTAGTTCTTCATGTAGGTAATAGTGGACAAAATAAACTGAGGTTTGCATTATATTCCAAAGTTTGTATTGTATTATATGTTTTCAGTTTTGTATTGATCTACTTATACAAGCAGGACAAATGTATCCAAATTTTAGCATACAGTAGAGAGCCAAATTTGTAAGTTTATTTATCTGGATAAATCTTCTGTCTTGTTTATGACATTATAATCCCATAGTTTAGCCCATAGATGCAATAAAACAACTTATGTTGAAAGAAGGTGGAGGGCCTTTTGACAGCTCTTCTGTGAGGCAACAGCTTCATTCTTTGCCATTTTAGCACTAGGCTTTTTTTGTTTCTCAAGATTAACTTTTGCTGTTAAGGACTGTAAAATGAAACTGAATGGCTTTATAAAATATAAAGAAACTCAAATATTACTTTTACTATAAGGAAGAATGAACTCTGTATCATCTTTGTTCTGTTAATAGGAGGTATATTTTCAGTAGTTCATGTATTTCAATCTTTGTGGAAGATAGCCTGAGAGAAGAATGGAAGAGAATTTTTACATATGAAAGGAAGTTATATAGTCATATGCTTGTGTAAAACAACAGTCTGTATGAGGTTGTAATTTTTTTTTCCATCCACTATGCTTATTATTTTTGAAGATTGATACTATTCTAATTAAATGAATTGAATTTTTTCTTTGGTTTGTTCTTGAAAAATGGTCAGGTGGTTAGGATTAATTTGATATACTTTCAAATCCGATGAGTCTCTGTATGTTAGGCTGATACTTTTGATATGCTTTTGAAAGCTTTCCTGCTCTAAGCCAAATGATCAACAAAACCCAGCTTTTATTAGGGATGTAAGTACTGCAACTTTTCTAGGTAGTTTTTGGGATTGTCCGTAGTTACCTGTGTTGCCTAAGAGACAGATTTTAGCAGCCCCTTGGCAAACATGTGAAATACAGGCCTTGCTCTGCAGAGTTAAGAGCCCCCAAAATAATACATTGTTCTCCTGGTTTAAAAAAGTTCTATACTTTTTTGAGATTAATTGTATCCTGATATCTGTACCTTCCTGCTGTGAGTGGGGAGCATCCATGCCCCTTTTAGTCAGCAGGAGTTGTGGTATTGACATCTTGCATATGTGAGGTAGTTAAAACAGTACTGAGTGTAAGGTTATTCTCAAGCATAAAAGCAAAATCCCATTTGCGTTTTGAGTACAGTTTCATTTTCAGCACGTTCATTTTCAGCAGGCGGATTAGAAGACTGACCTTTCTGACACTAGGTACTTAAACAGATTCTTTGAATGTTTTTTTCATAAGCCTTTTCATCCAGTCCTGGGGAGATTAATGCTTGCATGGTTACCTATATTTATGTTTCATTGCAATTTGTGGCTGGTCTATGTTTTAGTCTAGAATTTATTTATAATACATAAAAATGAAACTTATTAGATAAGTATCTCCAAATTTAATGCATGAACGTGTATAGGAAAAGCTTCTGGTCTTTCATTTGAGTGTTGTAGAGTCTTGCGTTCTTACCCTCAGGATTTTTTTTTCCTATTTTAATTCCAGTGCATTGCGGATTCCTATGGTTTTGCTAGAAAAATACCATAAATTTATGGCATCCTAAGCATTCCAATATAAATAATATTTTAAAATACATTAATCCTTACTATATATTTTTTTTTGTCTGGTACAGTCTAGCTTAATATTAAATTATGCACCTAGCGTTTCAGTGTTAGTGATTTTGACAGTGTTAAGCTAGTTTGGGGATGTTATTGAATTTTTTTTTTTTTTTAAAAAAAAAATCAGTTGAAAATTCCTGTTCTCCCCCTCCAATTCTTGGAAATGGGGAAGATGACAGGAAAAAATCAAATGGATTACTTACTAAAATTTAAATAAACCTGCAAACAGTCATAAGTGCAACAAAATGATGAGTGGATCATTTTTAAATTATATTCCTGCTTTTAAAAGGGATCAGTAGGCAGGATAAACAAAACACATGCACAGTAATGGACTAGTGCTTTGTGCACAAATTCAATCTTTGGAAAGAAATCTGAATAGTGTGTGGGTATCTTAGCAGTGTGAACAGTGATCATCTATTTTATTTATTAAATTAAGTGTGTGTAGCAACAGTTATAGGCATTGGGCAATGCATTTAAGAAAGACTAGTCGAACCCCAGTAAATATTTTCTAACTGCTTTTGAAATCACTCATGTTATCCAGTGTGTTGCTGCATAATTGTGACCTAACTGTCCCAAATTTGCTGCTCACAGTTTCAAATGTGCAGTATGAGCTGCTCTTCCTTGTACATCCACATAACAAAATATTTGAGAATGAAAAAGTGAGCATTCTTTAGGTCTGTAAAATGATCCTAGTCACTTGAACAGGAATAAAACCCAGGTAATGTTTGTTTTGATGTATAGTTTTCTAGTTATTGTGATAGCTAAGGTAGTTACAGGGTGTATTTTAAGGACCAGGTCTGCATAATATCATAATTCAGATGTCGTTTCAAGGTATGTGGTAAAGTCCATATTTCTGGTTCACCTCAATGAAAAACATTAAAATATAAATAAACCCATCGGTTTGTGGATTCAGATTTCCTGCTGTGAATGCTGCATTATGTTCTAGATTTCATTGGTTTAAAGCAGATTTTCAAATCTTTTTTTAGGTCAAACATACGGCCGGACTATGCAGATACAAGCTTTCATGAGTTCAAAATGCATACGTTCAGTCGCGTGACGTCTTGCAAAGTCTGTCAGATGCTTCTGAGGTAAGATATTTAAGTTGTGGGGTTTTTTTCCCTAAAAGAAATACCTGAATTAATGAAATATGTGGAAACACGTGGCTAGCTGGTTACCTGTCCAAGACAGACAAGCCATGAAGTCATGCATAGTATTTCTCGTTGTATAAGCAAATTTTTAAAATAATTTTTCCAAATATTAGCAGGAGTGCTATTAAAAGCTCAAAATCTCAAGATGCTCCTCATTTATCTGAAGGCTTCTTTATCATGATTCTTTTATGAGAATTGTTTTATTTAATATAGGAGTTCTTAAGTAAGAGTTAATGACAGCTGTTTCTTGCAGTTTTGACTACCATGGTTGTTCCACGGGGCCCATTGCTGTAGACCACCAGTCACAAGAACAGATGGAATATTTTTTTTCAGAAAATCAGATGATGATGATACTCATAAATGTTTGATATGGGGAGATTGCTTTGTGAGACAGAAAATAACTGTGAGGCATTAACAGGCACTTCTGAACCAGAGATACGTAGACAAATTGAAGATAGATGTTGCAAAGCTGATAAGAAATGCTAGCAGTCAACTAATGCTTTCATAACAAGGTTTTATAAGGCTAACTTAAGCTAAGAAATTCCATGTTTTCTGCCTCTTTCTTCTGAAACACAAACATATGCTTGCACATCTGTAGTTTCTCATTATTTCAGCTGTTTTTAGGAGCTACCTTGTTTTTTTGTAAATATGGAATGGCCAATGGTACAGAGGTATGTAATGAACCTAAATTTCATAGTGCAAGTTGGAGATGCAAAAGCTTTGTAAACTTCAGCCAGTTCAGGTGCTCAGAACACATTGCCCAGAGAAGTTGTGGGTGCCCCATCCCTGGAAGTGTTCAAGGCCAGGTTGGATGGGGCTTTGAGCAACCTGGTCTAGTGGAAGGTGTCCCTGCCCATGGCAGGGGGGATTGAACTTGATGATCTTTAAGGTCCCTTCCAACCCAAACCATTCTATGATATGATTCTATGTTGCATATTGTTGATGTTCTAAAAAATGTAGCCACGGTATTTTAGAAAGGGCATTTGAAGTATGGGTACTGCTTTTGTTAAGCACAGTCATGGAATAAAATAACCTCAGGTATGTTCCTCCCTGTCATGTATCTCTTCCTTTAACAACCTGCTTCCTGAACAGTTAGATTGACCTGGATTTTCACAGGGTGGGTGTTTTTTGTTTGTTTTTTTTTAGATCCGCCCCGCCCCGCCCCCAC